TCACTTGAGCCCAGGAGTTTGAGGTTGCTGTGAGCTAGGATGACGCCATGGCACTCACTCTAGCCAGGGCAACAGAGTGAAACTCTGTCTCAAAAAAAAAAAAAAAAAAAAAAAAAGAATATATCATAATTTGTGTAACCCTTCTCCCACTGATGGACACTTAAGACTCTTACGACTTATTTCTGCTATTAAAAGTAATTCTGAAAGGTGGTCATCTTTATACAGGGTGTCCATAAAGTCTGGGAACATAGATGACAATTTTTTCTTTTACAGATTGATAGTCTTTTGATGACAATATGTATATTCACCTGTGTTCCCAGACTTTACAAAATTTTGGCTGCATTTCAGATTTAATTCCTTAAGAAAAATTCCAGCTCCATTCCCAGCCATTGGAAATATAGAAAAGCCATTTGTTCTGATCGTCCTAAGTCTCCGGGTCTGGAGAGCCCAGCGTGGGCACCCTCTTAGCCTTTCTTTCCTATGAGAGACAGCATAACCCCTAACTTTAGCTCCTCCCTGCCAGTGAGACGCTGCCCAACTCTGAAACCACCGCAGCATGGCTACCTCTCCTGCACTTCAGCGGGGAACAACTATGGTGCTGTCTGTGAATACCACTGCGATGGAGGTTATGAGCGCCAGGGGACCCCCTCCCGGGTCTGCCAATCCAGCCGCCAGTGGTCAGGATCACCACCTATCTGTGCTCGTGAGTGAAACCAGGGAATGGGGAGAGTGGACATGTTGATCAGGGGTACTCTGGAGGATCTCCTCCCCATGACACAGGGTCCAATATATTATGTGATGTGAGAATGAGGGGTTCTGGAGATGTGTCTATTTTAAGGGTCAACATTCTCCCATAGAATACCCCTACTCCAAAAAGAAGAGTTTAAAATCTCCAAGTGTTCTTTCAGGATTTCCCCCAAGGGAAGGGAGAAAGTACAAGAAAGAGTTAACCTGAAAGACTGGAACTCCTCAAAATGTTAAGTTATCCAAGCTGGGATGAAGGAGAAGGCCATACTCTGGCCATCTGCTTCTGCCCTAGCTATGAAGATTAATGTCAATGTCAACTCGGCTGCTGGCCTTCTGGATCAGTTCTATGAGAAACGGCGGCTCCTCATCATCTCAGCTCCTGATCCCTCCAACCGATATTATAAAATGCAGATCTCTATGCTACAGGTGAGCCCCACCCCCAGCGAGGGTTTAGCTCCTTTACATTACCGCCGTACCTTTTCCAAAGCAAAGAGTTGCTCTCTGCAGCACAAACCCTACTTCCTCAAACTTTTTGTGGATAGCATTTGATCAATTTTACCATAGACATATTTAGCACATTTTAAAAACTGCTTTGTCTTTACTGAAAAGGCAGCGAAGCCACTGGAATGGTGGCTGTGACTTGCAGGGGACTGGGTGAAAGATGGGAAAGGAGTGTGGCAGAGCACTCTGTAGAGATTTGCAAGCCAGTTATGATCAAATGTAAAAGTTGGGAATTGACCATGTTTATGTTCTCAAGGAATAATAGCACTAACAAACATTTATGCGGTAAGTGCTATGTAGGTACTAGGTACTGATCTATGGGCTTCACACATATCCAATTCTCACAACAACCCTTATGAGGTGGGTACTATCATTATCCCCATTGAATAGGTGAGGAAATTGAGGCACAGAGAGGTTAAGTGATTTGCCCAAGGTCACTAGCTAGTAAGTGGCAGAACTGGGATTGAACCCAGGAAGTCTGGCTCCAGGATCTGTGCTCTTAACCACTACCAGTAGCAGAAGAGAAGGAAAAGTGTTGTGATACCTCAAAGTACAATCAGAGAGTTGCATGACGATTTTTAACATACTAGGAGCTACCAAGCCAAAGCCACTGGTGGGGGAGGGACAGGTAAATAGGACAGAATAGACATGACCATGGGGGCTTATAAAAAGAACAGGCTGTGTTGCTGAAGAGAATTCAGGGTGTGCTGACAAGACTGAGAAAAGCAGCTCTAGGGAGCTGCAAGGGGTCAGATCCTCATGTAAGAGAAAAAGCTACTTAAGGGGTTTCTAAAGGTTCAATCTTAGAAGTTGCCAAGTCAATACTGAGAGGCCCTTGATGGAAGCAGTTTTACCAAAAGCATGAACCCTGGGGGGTCTAGACCAAAAAAGGACCTCATTCCTCCAGGGATCTAAAAAAGGCAGACAAAGGCAACAGCTCCGTTTGAATAGGAAGCAAGAAAAGGAACCTGCCAGTGAGGACAGTGACTCTGAGGGGTGCAGACTAGACAGGGAGCCCAGAGATGAAATGGGGTGGGGCACCAGGGAGTATTCAGTGTCTCTTTAAACCTTGCCCTGGTCACTGGCTAATAGGTGATCCTGCAGAACAAGGCAGGATAGACCACCAAGGTGGGGTTACAGGGTGTGCTGCCCAGCGCGAGGAAGGCCATGAAGGGTAATGAAAAAAGCACTGGGCACTATTTTGGAGAAATCCTGGAGACCAAGAGAAGACCCTGGTGTTATAGCCTAGTGATAAAGAGCACACACGTGGGCAAACGGCATCAGCCCTCAGTTTGAATCTCAGCTCAGCATCTTATTGTCATCCAAATTTGGGCAAGTTACTTTCTCCTCTATGGAATAAGAACGACACCACCTAGCTTGTTAGGTGTATTGTGAAGACTAAATTAGAGTATTTCTACAAAGCATTAGGTACGAGTAGTCAATAAACAATAGCCATTATTATCCTATCACATTAGCTATCCGTTAAGAACCTATGCAGTTTAAAACCTATGCAAAGGTAAGCAATGATTATGTTCCTGCAATTTAGTCATCATGTATCTCTTTTCTACCCTATATCATGTAACTGGTTTCATGCACTTCAGTAGAATACAGGAAACATCGTTGGGGCAAGTACGTCAGGAGTGACAGAGGGAAAAGGTTGTTGCAGACCCGACAGTGTAATCATGTGATCACTTAGGGGAGAAGCCCCTTCTTTCCCACACTGCCTCATGTGATCCCAGGAGGAATCAGCCAAGTAGCCTTAGGTTTGAGTACAGAGGCCTGATCCATAAAACGTTCTCTCCCCCTCCCAGCAATCCACCTGTGGACTGGATCTGCGACACGTGACCATCATTGAGCTGGTGGGGCAGCCACCTCAGGAGGTGGGGCGCATCCGGGAGCAACAGCTGTCAGCGGACATCATCGAGGAACTCAGGTCCAGGCTGGGAAGCTGCAGGGCAGGGTTGAGCAGAAACCCTAGGCAGGCCACTGGCACCGGGGTTGGGGATTGTGGGAGAACCAGTAGACACTACTCTCTTGGGGCACTTCTTGTGTTTGAACTCTTATGGACACATTAGGTAAGATCAGAGAGTGATTCTTGACTCTGGCAGGACATCAGAATCAAATAAGGGCTTGAAATACAGATGACCAGGCCCCACCCTAAACCACCTCAGGAATGTGCTTTTATAAAGGCACTTAGGTGACTCTGAAGCATGGCCGAGGCTGAGACAGTTAGACTCAAACTTGACGCAGAGGATCCTCTGATCCTGTTGCCTTCTGGCCTCATCTCTTTACCTTCAGTCTCCAAAGAAGCGAAAAGGCATCTTTAGGCACTGAAATCTGAATCATATCTATCAGATCCTGGGGGAAGAGAAGGCTATAGGGGACAGACAGGTGGTAGGAATTGACTTTTCTCATTGTCCGTTATCAACCTTCCAATGCCTCCAGGTATATGCAGGGCTAATAAAGCCCTCACTGCTCCCTGTTCTAGAAACAATACCTGCCTCTAGGGCTCAGACTCAGTGGGGACAGAAAGATTCAGTCCCAGTTAGAGGGGAGACTAGGAAATGCTCAGAGGAAGGAGACTTGAAGACTTGCAGCTACAGGTAGAAGAGTTAACCAGGTGGTATTTATCAACCTCAGGCTGTATGATGTGCACACACAGCATAGTGTCTGTGACGGGCGCCCCCTGGAGTTATTCAGCCTACATAGCAATATGTGACTGCCCCGCCTAAAGGGGTCTACAATGGAAGCACAGCTTGGTAATAACAAAGCTGCCCCAGCTGGGGTGAGGACAGCTTAGCACACTTAGACACATAGGGGCACCAAGACTAGGGTCTGAGCACAGAAAAGCAAAGAGACTTGAGATAGGTAGTGGGGGGGGGGCGGGGATGGGGACCAGGGATAGGGTGGGAAAGGAATTAGTCCATCAGTGGAGCCGGGAAAGGTCAGGGGGTAGTAAAGCCCAACGGGGCAGATGCCCACACAAGGTCTCACACCTCCCTGGGCTGCTCTCTCTAGGCAATTTCAGCGCCTCACTCGCTCCTACTTCAACATGGTGTTGGTTGACAAGCAGGGTATTGACCGAGAACGCTACATGCAACCTGTCACCCCCGAGGAAATCTTCACATTCATTGATGACTACCTACTGAGCGACCAGGAGTTGACCCAGCGCCGGGAGCAAAGGGACGTATGCGAGTGAACTTGAGCCAGGGAATTGGTTGAGGCCAAGAAAAAAGCTCCTCTAGTTAGCTGAAGCTGGGGCATAATATTAATAAAAGGAGGAAATGGTTTCCCACAGTTTTAGGGACAGGACTCTGAGGTGGGTGAGGTTTGCCAATCCAGAGATGTTTCCAGGCACCTTTTTAGGGCTGTGTAATTGTTTTGCTAAGCAAGTCTCTGCTTCAGGTAGCACTGCGAGAGCATAAGAAGCTAGGTAGGGACTGAGGACAGGCCCTGGGCAGTGGGTTGGGCGTAGAAGGCCTTCCTTTCCTAACCTGGGCCTTTGCCCAGCTCTCCAAAGTCTCAGATAAGTAAATCCTAAATTCATTCACTAACCGGCTGTTTTAACTGGTTCCTCTACCCTGAGAAGACAGCAGAGGGCAGCACCATCACAACAACCAGGACACTTTAAGCAAGCGTAGCTGGATTTTCCTTACAAGTTAACTAGACCATGGGGTAGGAGGGTGGGAGGGCTACAGAACATTCTTGAACCTGTTTGTCATTTCCCCTTCTTGGGCAATTGGGCTTCAAATGTTATCTGAACCATTGCCTCACCTAAGAGTCAGGCAAACGCTGCAATGGGAGGGAGCCTGGGAAGACATACCCAGTCAGAGCAGAGCACTCTCTCCTGGCCCCGCCAGCTGGCTCATGGGCAAGGACACCTTCTTCCTGAGGCCTCCAGTTCCCATAGCAAAAGGCAAACAATGCTGCCCCTTCCTCAGAGGAGACCCCAGCCTGTTATCTAGGAGACTTCAAAACCACCGCCACAGGTCATGGGGGCAAGAGCTACAGCAGCACAAAGTCAAGCCTTAAGAACCCGGCCTGAAAATAAATTGGAGGTCTGGCTATCATGAAGTGGAGCCACACACATTTGCCTGCTCTGACTTCGGTCCCACTCAATGGTGTGCCATGGTTTAAAAGAAAAGTGTTCTCCACCTTGCCTTCTTGTATGTACTCACGGAACCCAGAGTCATAGCGAGGACTCAGCAGCCTTCTTCCTTCAGCTTTACCCAGGGGGTGATCAGTGGAAAACTAGAGGGGAGAAGGCAGCAGGCTGGGTGGGGAGGCTCAAGCACTCACTACGTGCCAGGTGCCATTTGAAATGCTCTATCGATTGACTCTGAAGTCTTCCCAAGAACCCTGTAAGATAGGTACCAGCCCCATTTTACAGGTGAGGGGATTGACGCTCAGCGAGGCTAGGCAGTTTGCCCAAGATTGGGCAGCTAATTAATGCAGTAAGAATTTAAACACCAGCAGCCTGGTTCCAGTGGCAATCTTTTTAGACATTATGCCATCCTGCCCCTACTTCTTTTTCTACTTTCCATTTAAAGACAGCTGAAAGCTCTAAGCTAGGAGAAAGATTCCATGTTTTATAATCCTACTCAGACACAAGACTCAGAGTGGACCCAGGAGGAAAGAGGGAAATGAAAGGCTCTCAACCCAAGAAAATTCACTCTTTAAAGCACAGTGATGGAACATAAATCATGAGCCCAGAGCATACGAGGATAGCAGTGAGTCAGACAGAAGCTGTTTCCACTGGGGTTTTAGTGGAATTCTCATTTTTAAAATGCAAAATTAAAAGTTAGGCAGTTGCTGGATAGAATGGGACATGGAGGAAATGATCAAACTTGGAGCAAAGAGGTCTCTTATCCCTCCTCCCTCCAGGGAAATACAGGAGCTATGAGAGGCAGGAGGCAAGTTATGGGCAGAAGGCAAAATACAATAAGTTCAAGTGGGAAATCTCTGGACAGACCAGGTCCGTGGTTGAAAAAGTCAAAGACTCCATGCCAGGCAAGGTGAATGCCCTTCTCTGTCTTTATCACTGAGACTTCAAGTGGCAAGCCAGGACATGCTAGCAGGTCCAAGAACCAAACACAGGAGGCCCACTATCCCCTGAACAGAGTTCCCACCAGGGCCTGACTCTTACATATAAATGCTCCTGCAGCTTAAAATAACTGAGGATCTTTTGTTTCATTTTGAGTAGTCAAGGCAAGTCAGTCTTGCTTTCTTTAAGTAAGGTTTTACTGTAACCTCCTTTGTAGTCCTTTGTAGGTGATGACTCAAGAAATCCCAACTCCTAAAGTAGGGGAAAGAGACAGCGGCAGAATCAGGCCCACAGCCAGACCCAAAGGGACTAGCCAGACCTCAACCCCGTATGTATCTCTGTTTCTCTGCCCCTCTCTGCTCCCACTTTTACCCCCTCCCCCACCCCTTCCTCTCCCCATCCTACTTTCTCTCTCTCTCTCACACACAAGCTATACAGTCACTAAGCTGGCTAGGTAATACCCAAAGCATTCTGATGTTCTTCTTTGTAAATTAAACTTATTTCTTTAGGACTCAACTAAGAGATGAGTCACCCCTTCCTTTGACTCTGTGCCCATAACACACACATCATTCTCACAGGAGGTGGCATGGTGCAGTAGAGTCACACTTTGGTTGAAATCCCAACCCTGTCACATGACAGTGTGCTTGAGTTTTCTCATCTGTAAAAAGGGAAGATTTCCTACTTCATAAGGTGGTTGGAGAAATTAAGGAAATAATATATAAAGCCTTGTACATTCAATATATGTCAAAAGGGCATTCAGTATAGATTAATGCCCTTTTGAACAAGAGGTCAAGAATCACTCGGGCTCTACCTAGAAACCCACAGTCTTATTTCTGAGATGGGTTATTTGGCATCTGTGTTATCTCTCTCTCAAAACTAAATAATGGTAGTAGGAGTGAAGGGAAAAGTCCCCACTTCCCAGAGAAACTGAAGGTTCTAGAAAGAAGTGCTTATGGCAGGGAATGTCTTCCCTCACTTCAGGCGTGAACATCTCTCTCCTTCCTCCAGCGCGACGGTGGGAAGGGGTGTCTACAAAGCTAAAGGAGGAGTTCCCTTGGTACTCGAGAGAGAGAAAAGTGGCACCGCTTTTAAGATGGGTTCTCAGTTCTCTCCTTAGATACCAAACACAAAGGACAAAGGATCAGAGGTCAGCAAAGGTTTCAGGCAGCGATGTGGGGAAAGGCAAATTTTCTTCAAATCAGCACAAGATGGTTAAGGAAGAGCATTTATCACTTTGGTTCCCACCCTTCATGCCATGGGAAAAGCAGCAGTAAGTCAGGACATTAGAGACAAAAGCATCTATAGAACTAACAAATGCAAACATTTAACAAGTGAGAAAGCTTTATTGAAGCACACATACATGTCAGGGGGTGGGAAACAAAAGAGCAAGTTACAGCCCAGGATCCCAAGTTATACCTCCCATTATAGTATCAATCCACCCCAAATTAATCTTTCAAAAACATTCCTCCATTCAAGCTCACACATACGATAGAAACCACCCTAGCTGCCCTCAATCCAGTGGCCTTACAGGAAATCAGCTAGCAGCCGATTCTATGGAAAGGGATTTCTTCTCTGGTATAGACTCCTCCCACACACAACACTGTGTAGATACACTTATAAGAACAAAAACGTCGATTTGGATCAGTGAGTACCAGAAAATGAAACTCAGCTCACAAGGCCCTTCTTTGAAAAGCCTCAAAACACCACACCCACACATGGAGGTCATGTTTAGGAAACGAATACCAAAAATAGGAATTGAAACCATGTCATGTGGGAAGTCGGGATTACTGGGAGATTCTCTGTCTACATTCTTTTGGAGCCCTAACAATCCCCAGGCTGGAGAAACACTGGGCCAGTTTAGACAAGACTTGGCTCTTCCAGCTGACACAGTGGTATACAGACCATATTCTGTGTGGTAACACACCTGAGACACAAACACTAAGAAAGATGTGCTACATGGGAGTGAGATGTCTCATCTTTCATTAGAGAAATAAGGCACTCTCTCTCCAACATCTGCTGTATCAGTTTAAAATACAGAGAATTCAGCATGGGCTGTGAGACCATTTACCCTCAGTCACTCAGGTCCTCTGGGAGCAGCTAAAAGCTCTTGCTGGGCATGTTCATGACTTAGTCAGAAGGCCATTTTGTAATTAAAGTGCTTTTCGAAAGTGGCTCTGTTAAAAGAGTCCCGCAAAAGTCTAGTAAAGGTGTCCAGAACTGGAAAAAGCTGGGGAATTTTTCTTAGCATTTCCAAGAAAAGCATTAGACCCAAACAAGGTGGAAACTACTTAAAAACAAGAAAAGTTAAAAGCCAAGTTCCAGAAATTTATCAAGGTAGAAAATGAGTTAAAAGCATACATTGGAGAGGAAGGACAGGAACCACTCACCTCTCTCCCATATCCCTCTGTCTTTAGTGACCCAACCCTGCTTCCCAGAGCCTTGGCTTAGATCAGGCACACCTTGAATCGCAGGCTGGTACTAATGCTAAAGGCAGCCAGGGCTGCCTGGGGAAGTAGGAACAAGGAGAGCAAAACAGAAGAGAAAAAGTTGTTTCAAAAGACTTCTTTAAGTTAATCAAACCTCTTAAAGGCATAAGAAAGAATATACTCTGAAAATATACTAGATTATGCACAAATAAAAACATTTTGAAGAGACCCTTATTCTTGAGCCTGCTTTAAAAAGGGGGGAACAAGTCTGCATCACTCTAGTTGGCATAATGAGATTTGCAGAAATACACATTTGTACACACACATACATGACACACGCACTTTAAATTATAAATCTTTGCTCTTGGTTTCTTCACTTCCTCTGACTTGCCCTGGCCAGGGCTGGACCTGCAGAGGAGTACAGGGACTCATAACCCCAGCTTCTGCTTGGCCATCGAGGAACGGAGCTGCAGAGTCCCTTCCGCCCAAGACCCTGGGTACTGTCGCATCTTCTGCCACAGGCTCATTTCTTCCCCAGTTGAGTCCATCCAGTCCACCACTTCCCCATTACTGATCCCTGAGGAGAAACACCAGAGGAAGCTGAACAGGGGCCCCACTCCTCAGCCCACCGGGCAAGATGGGTTATACAGCAAGGACAGCCACCCCGTAAATGACAGTGTGCTATGAAGAGTAGCCGATGGGGACCGCAGTCTGGGAAGTGCTCCCTGTTCATCCTGAACAGATATTTCTGTGCTCCTGAGACCCTATCAAGAGACTTCAGGTTGATGAAATGGGACTCCAAATGGCACAGTCACTAGAGACTTCTTATCCTGAGTCTGTTACGGAGCTCTTAGTGTCTGACACCTCATGCCAGAGCTATTACCCTTCTGTCATTGCCAACTGGACTTAAAATTTTCTTATAAAAGCTGAACACCTTTTTCTCTAGCTGCAGACTCCAGGCCCAAAGTTAGGAATGTATGTGGCCTCATTCCTATTCTCCTGTACATTCATTCATTTATTCAACATTTAGTGAGTGCCTACTGTGTGCCAGGTACTCTTCTAGGGTCTGGAGATACAGTGGTAAACGAAGCAGAGACAGCCCCAGCCCCCAGGCAGCTTACATTTGAATAGGGAAGACAAAAAACACAGAAGCAAATAAATAAGAGTATTCAGATAGTGAGATCAATGTTACGAAGTAAATAGTGTGATTTGTAGTGCCTGGATCAGGACCTACTGCGCAGGTGGTCTGAGGGACTCTGCGAAGGAGACATTTGAGCTGAGACCTGAAGGATGGGAAGGAGCCAGACTTTCCAGACACAGGGAATAATAATTGCGAAGGTTCTGAAGTGGAAATGAGCTTGGTATATTTGGAGAGCAGAAAGTCATCGTGGTTGGAGCATAGTGAGCAAGCAGAAGAGTGATATGAGATGGATCGGAAAGGAACAGAAGGCTCAGCTCCTACAGGGGCCTGTAGGCATGGTAAGAACTTCAGATTGTTTTCTTAGTACAATGAGAAGCCACTGAAGGGTCTTAACAGGAGACTGACATGAACTGGCTTACATGTGTAAAAACATCACTCAGATGCTTTGTGTTAAATGCTTTGTGGGGGTTGTTAATATGCAAGTAGTCTTTAAGGCCATAGGAATGCAGAGACTGTGGGGAGAGCAAAGAAGAGGATGTAACATGAAGCCCTGAGAAACACCAACCTTTAGGGTTTGGGTATAGAACGAGGAACCCACAAAGAAAACTGAGAAGGGGTGAGCAGTGAGTTAAAATGGAATCAGAATGTGCATCAACAGGACCTCAGTGTCCCAAGAAAAGGGGAGTGATCCACCATGTTAAATACTGCTAAAAATTCCAGTGAGATGAGAACAACACTTTGGCAGGAGCGATTGCTCAGCAGAGGAGTGGGACAGAAGCCAGATCACAGTGGATTGAAAACTAAAGGAAAGGTGAGGAAGTGGAGACCATTCTTTTTAAGAAATTAGAGGGAGCACATGTGGTCAAGAGAAGGTTTATTTTTATTTAATAAGATTGGACATACTAGAGTGTATCTGTATTCCCCTCCAGTAGGTAGGGAGAATGAAACTGAGAGATGGATATTAAGAAGTGAGATCTCTGAGAAGGGGAGGAGGTGGTCCAGAACACTTGGAGACAGCTTGGCTTTTGTTAGCACGGATGGAAGATAAAAAGTACAGGTACAGATATGGGTAGGTTTGTAGGTTTTCTTAGTGGGAAGATGATGGAGTTCCTGGCAACCAGGGTCACATTTATCTATACACACAACAGTGCATGAGCTCGGCCTTTCCCTAGGCCTGGCACATAGTAGGTACTCAAGAAATATTTGCTGAATGTTAACTGAAAGGAAAGAAGACAACTGTCATCACAGAGGAGCTTTGTGTGCAGAGGTCGGGAGGGGGTTGGTATCGGGAATGAAAGAGACAAGAGGCCTTTCAGACAAGTGAGGATGGGGGAGAGGCTCTCACCAGTGCCAACACCCAGCCTGACCCCTCCCAGGAAGTCATTGCTGGCCAGGGGCTCCCGGTCCCACACAGTCAGTTCCAGGCACATGTGCTGTAGATCTTCCAGCCTCACACCATTGTAGACAAATGTATGGTTGTAGTGGGGATTCAGGGTCTTCTTCATCACAGGAGTTTTACGCTTACTGGCCTTGTTCCTCATGGGAAGGAGGTATCTGGCAGAGGGCGGGGAGTAATCAACAGCCTACTCAAAGCCGGCAATGTCTGTCTAAATTCCCCCTGCCCCTGCCACAGGCCTAGCCCAGGAAGGGGAGTCAACACCCAAATCCTAGTGCACACACCCCGCCTTTGAATCTGCTGAAGCAGAGCTCCTACTACCTCCACTAGATCATTCACCTGATTTAATTCCTTTAACCTGGAGAGAAAATGAATATAATATTATTAGTGAGACTGTTGTTTGTGCTCCACCAAAAATGGGTTTTAAATATTTCGTTCCATTTCTACTAGGCAAGGTTCTCTTTAAATAAAACCAATAGTAATATCTATAGGCTTAACCAATCATGATTTGTTAGAAAAGTTAGTGGGTAATCTATCATTTAGGGAAAGCTAGCCTTGCTTAAAAATTGTAGGGAACAAAACCCTGAGTTCCCAAATCTAGACAATCAGCAGACACAGATTTTTACCCGTAATTAATAGCATGAGTCAGAAAAAAAGTCAGAACCTATCTGTGTACCACCCTCCTCTTTGGATATCAACACTACAGACCAGTCCAAACTGAGCTCAGACCAGTGCAGAGGCGGTGGTGGAGGTTTTGCCATTACCTAATTTCAGGAATAAAGTTGATTGCTGGGGTTGCTAAGACACACAGGACAATAAGCACAGAGAAAGGTTAAATCGGGTTCTTCTCTTAGCTCTCTTGTCCTGAAACTGGTTAGTTTGGTGCTGGTCCAGGGACTCACCCCTTGACAAAGCTGTCTGAAGTCCCTCCTGATTTGGCAGCCGTCAGGTTCTTGGCTTCTTTGATCCACACCTGGAGCTCTCCCCCTTCCCCACCTTTACCTGTAAGGAATGTCAGCCATAGCAAGTGAGCCCCTACCCCTCCAGATTTACCTTGAGCTTTATCTACAGAGCATCTCCTTTCCTTGCTCCTAAAGGCAGCGAACTCCATAACCATGCCTGACTTGTATCCTCAGTACCTAGCACAGTGCCCAACAGTAAGCAACAGGCACTCAATTAATAACAACCACGACAGCAATAAATGCTTACTGAAAACTGGCTGTGTGCCAGGGACTGTGTTAAGCATTTAATTCTCAACACAACCCTACAAGATATATACTATTATTGACCTCATTTTGCAAATGCGAAAATTGAGAGTTGAAGACATAAAGTTGCCTGATATTTGTTGAATGATTAAAAAAGAGGGAACTCCTTCACTTGAGTTTTTTTTTTGTTTTGACCAATAAAGCACAAAGTTTTATCATAGTTGTGGGGTAAATTAATATTCAGAAGTTTGAAATTTATGCATATTGTAAAACGGTGACAAACTGTAGTCTTAAACATATAAACCAAAGATGAGTTCTTGATTCCATCCCCAACTCACAGGACTCAGTAGGCATCATCAATTTCAACCCCCACCTCCCATCTTCTATATATCTCTTTCTCCACTAGTCCCTTCTCCTTAGTCTAATGCTAATCTCAACTCTTTTTTAAAAAAAATCCTTTTAAAAAAAAACCTCCCTTAAACTTTATCTCTTCTTCAAACTATTCTCCATGGCTCTCCTTTCTTTCACCATCAATTACTCTGAAAAAAAAAAAAGGCTATACTCACCACCTCTACTTCTTTGCCTAATTCACTCAGCCTAGTTGCTAGTAAAATCTGGTTTCTGCTTCCACTAATCCACTGAAAATGCAATCCAATGCCAATTAGCCATGTCTTCTCAGTCCTCAACCATCCTGACCCCCCTGTAGTGTTTCAACACTGCTGACAACCCCTGCCCCTTCTTCTTGAAGCTCCCTCCTAACATGTCTCTCTCCTGATAACCTTCTACTTCACTGGCATTTCTTTCTCTCGTCATTCTTTAAAATGTTGCTCCCCGTGGTTTGATCCTCGCCTCTCTTCTCTAATCATTCTACATATCCTCCTTGGGGAGTTCATTGATTCCCCAAATCCTCTAGCTTAGACCTAGCTGAACGTCTATTTTTGAAAGAACTTCGGCTTCCTATTGCTAAAGGGTCAAGTTAAACTCCTTACCGTTGTGTTCCAGGCCACTTTCAGTCAGGCTCCAGCCTCATCTCCAATTCCAGCCCCACTCCCACATATAGCAAACCATAACGCCAGCCCCACTCACATAAGGGGTTCACTCTCCCATGCTCACATACAACCCCACATTTACCATGCCATTTTAAAACCTTTTCTCATGCTGTCCCCTCTTCTGGAAACACTCTTCTCTCCCCATCCTCCTTCTTTTCTTCCTGGTGAAGTCTTTTTTTTTTTTTTTTTTTGAGACAGAGTCTCACTCTTTTGCCCGGGCTAGAGTGCCGTGGCGTCATCCTAGCTCACAGCAACCTCAAACTCCTGGGCTCAAGCGATCCTCCTGCCTCAGCCTCCCGAGTAGCTGGGACTACAGGCATGCGCCACCATGCCCGGCTAATTTTTTCTATATATTTTTAGTTGTCCGATTAATTTCTTTCTATTTTTAGTAGAGACGGGGTCTCGCTCTTGCTCAGGCTGGTCTCGAACTCCTGAGCTCAAACAATCCGCCTGCCTCGGCCTCCCAGAGTGCTAGGATTACAGGCGTGAGCCACCGCGCCCAGCCCCCTGGTGAAGTCTTAAGGTCCAGTTCCAATGTTACCTCCTCTTTAAAGGTCTTACCTCTTCCAAATGTCACCAGACAGAATTCACCACTCCTAAATGTGTCCTTTTAACACGTGACTGTCTTTTTTGCAAAAATTTAAGTTCCTCAAGGGAGAGCAAATATCATGTCTTACTCATTTATATATCCACAGTCACTAACACAGTGCCTGGCGTGTTGAATTACTCTTCCTCAGCCTTCATCTTCCTGTCTCTTATACTTTACCACCCTTTCCAACTCTCCTTCTTAGCCCCAAAGTTTCTGTTCTCTTCTGCCCTGTTAGTAGCTTGCCACAGCTGGACCAAGACCAAGTCAATTTAATAGCTTTAAAAAAAAAAGGAATGCCAATCCTTAGGCATTCCTTCTGGTTGAAAAATGCAGGAAAGGCTTCCTTAGTAAAGGAATATTCCCTGGAAGATTCAGGAAGCATTCCAATTTGGTCTCTCCAACAGTACTAGTCAGTAGCTAGCACCAGCCACACACGTATGTTGTACAGAAGACTAAGAGCTAAATCCAGGGCCCCAAAGAAAACTCACTCTTTTTCCGGTCACCTCCAACAGGGAGTTTGGAGGCTGGGATGTATTTCAATGAAACCACCAACTCGCCTTTGTGTGATGGCAAGCCAGTCAGGGACTCAGCACTGACCTGAAACACAGGGAAACCCAACAGGTCAAGCTGGGCTTCTCAGGAATTGTTGGGACATTTCTCTGAGGAGATTCTAAAATTACCCCCAAGAACAGGATCCTTCTCCTTATGAATACAATCCAGGGTCCCTAGGCCATGGGAGCCACAGGTTTCCAAGGCAGTCTCTTCAGAAGGAAATACAGGAGAATCAACAAAAAGTCTCCTGTAACACCCATTATTATGCCACTTTGGGGTACAGTTACTAGATCCCAAATACTCTCAAAGGTCTTCCAGCAAGGTTGCCACACAAACTCACAAAGGACTGACACCATGATGAAGAATCGTGCTACCAGCATTGTTAGTAATAGCCATAAAGCGGAAACAACCTAAATGTCAATCGATATATGAAGGGTTAAATGAGTAATTTTAATGCCCTCATATGACATATGGCATGCAGTCATCAAGAAGAATGCAGTGAATCTGTACATGCTGACATGGACAGATATCCAAGATATATTGTTAAGTCAACAAAGCAAGATGCAGAAAAAAAATGTCCCACTTATATTAAAATATATTCATATTTGTACATGTGAATATATATGTATGTAAATAACAATTATTATCATTATCACGTATATAGCATTTACTATGTGCCAGGCACTATTATAAGTACTTTAAGTATATCATTTTGTTTAATCCTCAAGATAGTCCCTATGAGATAGGTACTATTATCCCCATTTTACGGGTTATGGAACAGAGGAACAGAGAGGTTAAGTAATTTGCCCAAGGTCACACAGTAATTGACACAGCCAGAATTCAAATTCAGACGGACTCACTCCAGAGTCCATGCTTTTAACCACTATACTATACTATGTAGAAAAACCCAGGATACAAACTTAACACTCGTTTTCTCTAGGGCGGGGAGCAGGATGGGGAAAGGAAAGAGGGCTTTCCCCTTTTATTCTATATTAATATCTATAGTATATTTTTTATGAGAATGGCAAATATCATTTGTATGGTTTTTTAAAATAAAAAGTATTTTTTAAAAGAGGGCTTCCAAAGATTTGAGGGCTAGGTGGAGGGGAGCTCTGTTATACGGATTTGAATATACTACAATTTTTAATTTTATATTTACTTTGGTTATTTTTGACTAATGTCTGCCTGTACCACTAGAATCTAAGTGCCAGGAAGATAGGAATCAAGCCTATTTTTGTTCATCCTAGTATGCCCAATACTTAGCAAAGTACCTGACACATAGTAGGTGCTCTACAAGTATTCACTGAATGAATGTAAGAGTGAACGAATGAATGTCTGGGATGAACAGCAAGTGGCCTATCATCGTTGGCTTTGGCTGGCAGAATTGCTTCACTCTATTGGCTCTCTGTGTGTGACTCTGTTCTTTATGCTTTGGTATCCAGAGCATGAGCTGGTGCAGACTAGAGGTACCCTTTCACCTGCCTGTGTTCCCTGGGGTTTCTCTAACCTAGGTCCTCACTACTGACTACCGATGCTAGGAAAGCATGATCCCCATAGGTTTGGATCAATGTGCCATATACCCAGAACACACAAAGTTTAGTACATGGCAGAGAGAAAAAAGAATTAGGAGGTGGATGCAGGCAAGAGAAAACTGAATGAGAGCAAATGCATTGCTAGGGCAAAAAGAACAAATCAAAAACAATGGATATAGAAGGTTCTAAGTTAAAATACATCTATAGGAATGGTCTTTCTTATTGCTTATAAAATGCCTATACAATTTATTAATTTCTAGACTGTGAACTTCAGTGGACTCTTAAAAATTGGAGTTTAGCATTAGCTAGAAAGTGGCATAATTGTTTTGGGAGCACATTTTCATTCTGGCTCAAAATATATGCAAAGGTCAAATACTTCCATTTCAGTGCAGTTTCTTCTTTTTGTGTAAAACCGTTTAATTAGCAGTAGTTCATGATGGTTTACAGTGACACTTCTAATATATCAACTGTAGGCCCCTGAGAGAATGACTTGAGTGCCAAGTGTTTAAGAAATTCTAAGTTTCTAATAACATGTTATACTTTGGTAATAATTGCTTCCCTATCTCTTTTTATTGATATATACTATTTGTACATATTTATGGGGGGTGTATGTAATATTTTGATACATGCATAGAATGTGTAATGCTCAAGTCAGAGTATTTAGGATATCCACCTGAACATTTATCATAGCTTTGTATTGGGAACATTTCCAATCTTCTCTTCTAGCTATTTTGAAATATATAATATATTATTAACTAGAGTCGCCCTACTGTGTCTATCAAATGAATTCCTGCTTATATTAGTATTTAAAGGGACAAATTTAATGCTGTCACTATTTTTTTGGAGAGTAATAGCTATCAAAACATTGGATGTATATTTCTTTTGACTCAGCAATTCCACCACCAGGAATTTCTCTGACAGCTACATTCACAAGAGAAAGCCAAGATATAATGCAAGACAGTTTTAGAAGAAAAAAAAGTAAACAATTTAAATGCCCATTAGTGGGGGAATGGTAAATAAATTATAATATAGGCACATGATGGAATAGTATGCAGCAATTAATATGAGATAGATCTATAAGTGATAACATAACAGTATGTCCATGATACATTGTTAAATGAAAAAAATCAAGATATGTACAATGAGGTTCATGTGAGCCCATTTGTATAAAAAGGAAAAATATATAAATCCATAGATGTATATCTGTGCTGCTTAATATAAAATTTCCAGAAGCATATCCAAGCATTGTTAACAGTGGTTATTTGTAAGAAACGGAACCTACTTTTCTTTTTATACATTTTATGTTGTTTTAATTTTGAACCATGTTCATATAAATCCTCTTATGCTTTTCTTAACATGGTAAAAAGTTCAAATGTTAAAAAAAGGGCATATAGAGAATACTAAATCTCCCTTCCCCCTCAGTTTCTCTTCCTAGAGGCAGCCACCATTACTAGCTTCTTGTCTATCTTCCCATAGATATTCTATGTGCCGTGTATTGTTTTAAACATTTAAAATGCTAGTGTAAAAAATTTAACAAGAACTTTGCCATGTCATTGTATAGTTCTGATAATCAAGAAGTTGCTAAGTCTTCCATTTTAGCAAAATTTCATCTCAACCAGAATGACAGCAACCTACTAAATGTCCATATGTGCCAGCCACTGACTGGTACTTTGTATGCAACCCTGCAAAAGAGAAAAATTATTGTTATCTCCATTTTATAGATGAAGAAACTAAGGCTCACAGAAGTTAGGTGACTCACCTAGCTGGCAAGTGACAGAACCAGGATTCTAACCCAGGTCTGCACTCAGATCCCAGGCACATTTTGCCACACATTGCTACACTCTAGCCTGAGGTGCCATCTCCAAAGTGAAATCTTCCCTGGCTTGTGTAAGCAAAAGTACAGCAATTGGAGCTCCATGAATTGCTTTAGTTCCCACTTCTTTAGTGAGAAGGTTAGCTTGGAAAAGGAGTGCAGATTAGGATACACACAGAAGGTTAGCTCGGAGAAGAGGTGAAAATTAGAATGTCAGGATACACCCAGATTCTGGAAAGTTAGGAGGCAAAGCTTGGCACACATACACAAAACTTTCTGAAGCAAAACCGTGGCTTCACACTTTGCCTGGTTTACACAGAACTCACACTTGACATACAAGCGAAATTGCTGTCAAGCTCAGAAACCCCAGCAGAGTGCACTAGAACTCTACAGAAGACTCATTCAAAGACACTACCAGCAGAGACCAGCAGAGGCTGCTGCAGACAATTCTACCTTCCATGGAAGCTGCGGAAGGAGCTGTTAAAGCAGACTACCTTTCCATGTAAAGGGAGGCAATGATCCAGTTTCTTATCGAGCTTCCAGGAATCCATCTGGACCTCTGCCTCTCCAAGGAAAGTGTTTCTGCCAAAACGACCATGATGCCAAACTGAGAACTGCAAGGTCCTCTGGGCCAGGAGAGACTCTGGGATCTCATACTGTGAAGGGAAGGTAGAAGCCCAAAATGATTAGTTAGTGGTAATTCCTCAGAAAAGATTATTCTGAAACCTGAGTAACCATAACCAAAGTCCATAGTTCTGAATATCAAGTTACTTTAGTTCCTAAGCATTCCAAGTTTCCTCAACTTACCTCATTTTACAAAAACCTACCACATTCCATAGGAGGGCCTAGAAAAGTAATTAATTTTTCCTTGAGTGGATGAGAGAGCACTGGAACCCCAAACAGAACTGCCAAGGAGACTTCTTATCTCAAATGGCTTTTTAAAATGAGATTTGTGGCCACGTGAATCTCCAAATTCACAACAATCCAGGAAAGCCGCATCACCTTTGTCCTCTTGTCTCGGAGGTCAGGATGTGAACAGATGGCCAGAGTGAATCCTCAGACACAGACACGGGCCACTGAAACCCACGTCACACGGCCATGTTGCAAAGGAATAGCTACAGTTTAGGGCACAAGACAGAACAAGTTCTCTTACCCCTGGGGTCTAATACTTACCCTGAGGACCTCATCATACAGTGGATTGATGGTGTCTCGCTTGATGCTGGTTTTTCTTTTTCCTTGGCGGGATTTGTCAGGCAGAAGGTAAGTCTTCACATATCTAGAAACCAAAGAGAGTACTGAGTAGTTTGCTGTCCTTTCTCAAGCCCATTCACCACTTCCCTGCTCTCCATATAAACATGCCATGGAGAAATGCAATGTTAAAAATGTTCCATCAAGCCCTTTCAGACACATGCCATTCTTGCTTTTCTGCAATCCTGGTCCCTTTTCTACATCACCTCTCCCTCCCCCCGCCTCCCAGAAGGTGATGAGTTCTTATCAAGAGTGCCTAGACAGATGCCAGGGTCTGCTCTCTGGTCTCGGAGCATCAGTCGGGTTCCAGAAGTACTCACGGGTTAGAGCGCTTCTTGGCTTCATCAGCATAGGCCAGCTGGTGGCACTCCTTCACGTGGATGACCAGAGTCTGTGTTTGCTGCTCATACTTCAGGGAAAAGGCAATCTTGCCAGTCACAAAGATGTTCCCGAAATCACCAGCTTCACTATAGATGCTCATCATGCTGCCGATCGTACTCTGGAGATAAAGCACCCACAAACATCTGGGGAAGGTACACACCCCCACCCACATTGCTCACATCTTTCCTCATGATAAAGCCATAATCACTGAGCAAAACAAAAGCTTCAGAAGCCCCTGCAATGAACCAGTACGGCCAACAGTCCTTGACCCAGAGGATAAGACAGAGCTACCAGCATACTGACAATTGTTCAGGTCAATAAATTAGCACATGGCTTACCTAGGCTCTTAGCTTCTCTTCTTCCCTTCTTTGTATACATTTTAGTGTTAATTTTCACCTGCCCCAGGAGGTAGGCAAGGAGTGGACAGGTAAGGTACAGGTAAGTCCATTTTTCATATTTGTTATATGTGCTAAAACACTGGCTAGAAGGGATTAGTTACTAATTAAAACAAGGTACCTTAATTGTCTGTGGATTTCTTTTACCCACCTTATCTCTATCAAGACCTACAGAGAAAAGAGATTGGGCCAGAATTGGAAGTGGATGGGTAGGGAGGAAATACCACCAGAAGTGAAAAGGCACCTTTCTGTCTGGTAGTAATCAGCTGTGCAAGCCGATATTATCTTCCTGTGCATGAGTGTGAACAAACCTTAGCCACCCTTGTTCCTGACCGTGTTTCCCCTAAATATCAGTCTTCATACTTATGACAGAAGTAGGCCCTGATTCTTAAATGTCACTTTAACTTCATGATTCTGACTAGTATCATTGATCCTTAACCATACCCTGGTGCCAGTTAATCCTGCCAGAGTCCCTCTCATGACACTCATTCTCCTTTAATGTGAGAATTTGGAGTAGGCTATGATGAAAAAAAATCTGATCTTGCTCAATTCATAGCCTGGGTACCTCCTAAGGGAAGGAATTATGGTTACTGTTCACAAAGCTGTGATGAAGAATGTCCCTAGCCCTAATTCCCTAATGTAATAATCTTGAGGGCAGAGGCTCAGGAAGTCATGTAAATGGCCACTAAGCACCTACGGCCTAAATTGAGGATAAAAACAAACAAATGCATCCCACTTACCTGGAAAGAATAACTAGGATGATTTCCCCAGATCAGGTACTGAATCTGCTCTAGAGAGGCACTTCTTTCCTTCCTGGTATCCCAATGCGTTTATAATCTCAAAACTAATAGAACTTACCATGGAAGAGCCACTTTGCATGCTGCTTCTAGCTAGCTTCTGGCGATGCAACTTCACCAAGTGGTCAATGTCTTCTTCTTCTTCCTCCTCCTCTTCCTCTTCCTAGAGCAATAAATACAGATTCAGAGTTAATAAAAATAAGAAAATATTCAAAGACTAATAGCTTTCCTTTAGTGGAAACCATAATCATTGTAAAGCTCTGAGGTGTTATGTGTATATGTACACACATATCCTTATTTTCACGCGTCTCCCCATTTCAGGCTTCCCAGCTCTAGTCCAGCCATCTTCCTCATATCTCAAATAATAAGAATATTTAATATTTCTCACAGGAGCTATTAGGTTATTAAGTATGAAATGTCCGATTTCCTTAAGTACTAAGTTTGACAGTTGATATATCTGATATTTCACTTCGACACTTCTTGTTTATTGTGAAGGTACATCCTCACTCTTTCAAACACACATTTTGGCTTGTGATTATCTTTCGAATTTTTTTAGAGCAATATTTGTGAAACCATGGATAAGTCAAAAATTCGTGTTATTTTCAAATATGAGTTCCATCGTGGAACCAATGCAGCTCAGACAGCTCAAAATATCAATGAAGTGTTTGGGAAGGATGTGGCTAATGAACGCACAGTACATCGATGGTTTGAAAGGTTCCGTTCTATTGATTTTAATCTTGAAAATAAGCTATGTGGGCGACCTAAGACCAAGGTGAATAATGATGAACTAAAAGCTGTAGTGGAAGTGAATCCATCTCGACTGATGCATGAATTAGCAGCAAGGTTTGGTGTTACTATTCCAACAACACTGGACCATTTGAAACAAACCAGCCAGGTAAAGAAGCTGGATAGATGGGTGACCACATACACTGAATGAGCGTCGGAAGAAATACAGTCTCAAAGGTTGTCTTTCTTTGCTGTCACGACATAAAGGCAAACCATTTCTACAGCATATTGCTATGTGTGATGAAAAATGGATTCTTTTTGAGAATTTCAAGCATTTGGCACAATGGTTGGATAAAGATGAAGTGCGGAAACACAGTACAAAAGCAAATATTCATTAAAAAAAGCTAATGGTGTGTGTTTGGTGGTCCAGAGCTGGTATTATCCACTACAGCTTCATGAAAGCTGGTCAATCAATTACAGCAGATGTCTGCTGCAACCAATTGGATGAAATGATGAGGCTGCTTGTGACTAAGCAGCTGAGATTGGTCAATAGAGACAGGCCAATCCTCTTGCAAGGCAACACTCAATCATGTCACACAAACAACGCTGCTCAAACTACAGAAGCTGGACTTGGAAACTCTGTGTGATCAGAGAGTTTCACCAGACCTTGCACCAACTGACTACCACTTCTTCCAGGCTTTAGACCCCTTCTTGCAAGGAAAAATATTCCATTCTCAAAAAGCTGTGGAAAACGCCTTTGGCAATTTCATCGCCACTCACCCCTCAGGCTTCTTCGCTGCTGCCATAAACAAGCTACTGTTAAGATGGCAAAACTGTGTCAACAGTTTAAGTGCATACTTTGATTAATTGTACTGCTTCTTGTTTGTGATATAATAATCTGCACTTTTGATTTGAAATTGAACATTTCATATTTAATGACTTAATACAACTCTTTCCCATTTGACTGCCCTAACGCAGCTATCTCCTTATATTTTAATCAACAGAAGTATTTATTTGAGACCCCAACCATATATCCAGCAATCTATTAGAAAATAAGAGACAGAAAAGACAGTCCTTTCCTTTAAGCGAATCAGGAAGATTTACTTTAGAAATTTGGGGAATCAAGATTCATGCTGCCTTTTCCTGAAGAATTAAACAGGTTGATTGAGAGTATCAGGTACTAAAGCCAATTCTAGATAAATAAAATTTAATACAGTCACCAAGTGAAATACAAGGGCACTTACCATATCCACACTGAGGCCTGGGACAGATTTGCTTCTGTCTCCCAGGGAGCCACTTTCATGCCCCACATCCTCTGGGCGAAGATCTATCACAGATTTAGTGTATTCTGAGTGGAAGACCAAAAACTCAAGTCAAAAGAGACCTATTCTTCATACCAAGAGCCCATCAAGTGTACTCAGAACTTCAGTCCCAAAAATCCATGAAGGGAAAACAGCTACCTGAAGGCCTCAGGATTTTTCTGGTGTTCTTCTTGAATATCATTTCACCCTCATCGACAGATACCACATTTTGACCCCCAGGCTGAGTTTCCTAGGAAGGAATAGGGCAAGGAAATGGAAAAAGGACAGATGGGTAGGTGGAAGGAGTGAGTAAGGAAGGATAGCCTTAAGAAGAATAAGGCTCAGATTTTCACCAAACTATGA